AAAGTTAACTTCACTTTCAGGCATAAACGTGATCTACACGAACTCGTTCATTCACATGATGCTTGTAGTGTAGATGGCACTGAAGTTGAAACCAGTTCAAGCATGAAATGCTCTGGAATGGTTCTATCATCTGATCTCTCTTCTTCATTCCAAATCTTGCTGATGTCTAAGAAAATGTTTCGTCTAACACCCTACATTAAGAGGTTAAGACAATGAACAATCATTCAACCTCTGGTTCTACAACTTGTTTACTTTTCCATCTTATTGTTCTTTATTGCTCCCACTTAGTCTTTCCTAAGCTACTCAACAAGGACTCTGTCAAATGATGAGAGGTGTTAAAGGTCGTCAATAGAGCATGTTGTGTGCCACTAAGTCAGCTTGTTACCAGTGTAGTCAACGGACATCTGAACTCATGTGAGAAATGATCCAAATCCATACTGTCTGACTCTAAGAACGCTCTCTATTCACAACTCTCTCAGGTAGAACTCGAAGTCATTAAAAAAGATTGTATGCTCCCTTGCACAAGTAAATACAAGTGATTTATGGTGACACTATCTCAATTATCTCAGCAGTACACACCCAACGGGGTTCGAACCCAGGACCTTCTGGTTACAAGTCCAGCGAGCTCGTAGACCATTAAGCCACTTCGACACGATCCAATTTACAGCCCATGAGTTCTAACTTCTGCCAATTCACAACATAGCGCAACTGCTAGCCAATGTCTTCAGCGAGTATTCGTCCTCACACCCGACCTGCTGCACCCTACTGGTCACGACTTCCCACTGGAACTCCAGGTAACTACCTACCTGAATAGGGCCAGCCGCTAGTGAGCGTCTCATTGATATTCAACTATTGGTTTGTAGAGATTTTGATTGATTGGTTACAGGATTTCATCATGAGCTGACCAATGTCAGGTCCTCGGTTCGAACCCCGGTGGGTGCGTACTAATGAAGAGTCCCAAACTAGGACGAAACAGCTGTCCAGTACTCCCAGGTTTTCCAATGGTTCGCTAACCAATGTCAGTTCATGATGAAATCCTGTAACTTGAATTTTACTATTGTTATTAGTTTTTTCCACTATCTAATGTTTACATGGCGCAGTATGATAGAGGGTACCATGGAAAACACAATATCAATCCTGAATAGTTTACTCATTCACCTGAGAAAACTTTAGAAACATTCTTCTTATTTCATTATTATATTATATTAACCAGTATTGCATTCTGTTGACATAATATGAAGGGTGACGTTTCATGGTGAAATAGAAGCCCGAATCTCAGTGATATTACAAACGAAGACTTGATAAAGCTATCAAGAGAAATTATTATGCTGCAACACTCGTACTCTTTAACTTCATTAAGCGGACGCCTCAAAAGTCTGAGAAAGACTGGTTGCCAATCCACAACCCTTTAAACTACGTATATCGATTTGAGTGTGTTTATGGGAGCAAATACTACATAGGTCATACAAAAAGGCGATTGTCTACTCACATGATGAAGCATTCGCCAAAGTGGCTGAAAACAGATGAAGTCAAAGTGCCAAAAACTTCAGACATGACACTGAAACTGTCAACTCATTCACTGTTGTCAGCAGACAAACAAACAGGAAGATCCATGCAATTGCGCAGGCATGTGAAATTAGAGTTTATAAACCAGGTGTCTGTGTACAGAATGAAATGGTAGTCACTCTAAATCTACCATGGGAATACGTTTTACTTATTAACTGTTATTATTATTATTATTAATATTTTATTCTATATTTTATTCCACCTCTTAATCTTACTATTTCTGATTCATTTAAAACTATCTTTTATCATTACCATTACGCCAACTCATTTTAACATTATTAATTATTGCTAATTATTCTTGTTACTGTTGTTACTATTATTAGCACCACTATTATTGTAATTAGTATGCAGTTCTCAATTCTTGATATAATCAAGGTCTTTCACCCACTGATAACTAATTGTTTATTCAAGTGACGTAATTCACCTGTAATGCATTTGATCTTACTTTTCTATCCCAGGATGTAGAGTATCCAGCTTAAGACATTTACAGAAATTTGATGAATTTACTCAATCCTGCCTTATTAACTTTTGTTGCTTGTTTTAAATGCGCATGGGATAATAAATCTTTCTAAAATTGAGATAACTCTGAGTCATATTTCAGCATACTATAACAACAGTGAAGAAGAACAGATACTACAGTCAAATGACCTTGAACAAGCCAGTCAGGTACTCCTAGGCAAAAAGTGGCATTCATTGTATGTTAAGTTGGTATATATATATATATACATATATATATATATATACATCAGTCTTTATACTACAAGTGTAAAGAACAACCGCTTCTCTAGTTTTGATACAAGTGACGTTTTCAAGTTTCTCCAGTCCTTGAAACACACCCAGTCCATTAGTCCAGATGGTGTGCTCTCCATTATTATCAAAAAATATGTGAAAATTTTATGCCATCCTCTCACTGAATTATGAATTATTTCCCAGTAACACTGTGCCTGCCTCTTGGCAGAATATGAAAATTCTTCCTGTGCCTAAATCATCGACTGGACGGAATGTTAAGTTTAGACCTATTGCCATTACTTCACCTTTTTTAAGAATAATGGAAAATCTGAGTTTTTTTTAAATTGAACCCTCATTGAAGGCTTTTAACGACCCTAATTAATCTGCTTATAAGCATAGTATCTGTACTTTAGATTCTGTTAGTGTCTTACATCATAATATTGTTTCCAGTTTGGACAGAGGCTCCAGATATGCTCAATGTACCTTCCTTGATTACAACATCTGCCTTCGACTCTGTATGTAGGCCTCTCTTGTTAAACAAGCTCGCTGCGTCACAAGCACAGTGCTGGATTACCAAGTGGTTGCATTCACTTAAGCTAGCCAGTGTTCTTCAAGGAGCTGTTCTTTCTCCTTTTCTGCTTTCTTTTTTCTAACATGACTTGATCCATCCCAACGAATCCATTTTTTAAAGTATGCTTATGTTCTAACTGTTCCTATGCCAGTGGTTATTTCTCAGTCAGATTGTTCTAAAGTGAATAACGTTTTATTAGGAATTAGTAAGTGGCCCTTGTCAAATGGTCTAAGGCCAAATCCCTCAAAATGTCAGGTTGTTAATTTTACTTTCAGACACAAGCACGACTTAAATGACCTGGTTAGTTCTCATGGTTGTAGTATCACAGATGCCACTGAAATTGAAACTAAGTCGAATGTTAAATACCTTGAACTGCATATTCCCTATTATCTTTCCTGGTCTTCCCACATCATGTTAGTTTCTATGAAGACATTTCGTCTAACGTTCTACATCAGGAAGGTAAGATAATCTGACGTCACTCATCCTTTACAGTTGCAGTTTGTAAGTTCTTGCATTCAACCTTTTCTTCTTTATTGCTCCCTCTTAATCTTTCCTGGGCTACTAAAGGAAAGACTGTATTACACTACGAAGGGCAGTAAAAGCTGCCGGTAGGGCGAGTGGGCTTCTGTTGAACCAACTCAGTAAGACTGTTGTAGACAGACACATGTACTCGTGCAAGGAATTAGCGAATGTAATCTCTTCCTACCCTGAGAATCCGCTATATACCCAATCTCTTCTTGCATCTCATCAAGCAGAACTAGAAAAAACTACAAAAGACTATTTGCTCAGACGACTAAGTATAGAAACTCTACAGTACCTTATTTGTCAGGCATACATTTTATGTGATGATAAAAATGCAAGGCATGACATTACCGAACTAACTGAAAAACACCAAGAATAGCAGCTTCTTTTTCCGTTATTATATTGTGATTAATATATTCACTTAGATTTTAACTTTATATTTATATTCTCATTTAATAATGTTATTAATGTGAATACCCTGTTTTAATTATTTCTCCTGTATTAGGTAATGAGAAAACTTGATGCAATACTGTACTACATGTTGAAAATTCCATATTGTACCAAAAGTACTGTTTGGAATAAAGCCATTAATATCATTATTACTATTACTATTATTATTATTGATAACGTACGTGCAGCACAACCAAAAGTGCTTGCTATATTTTGTTAAAAGTCTTTAGTAATCTGAAAAAGAGTTTGAAATCGTTTGTTACTAATTAACTGATGTCAGCTCATGATGAAATCCTCCAACAAATCAAACAAAATCCCCACAAAAAACCAATACTTAAAGATTGATCTGATGCTTACTAGCGAATGGCCTTATTCAGGCAGTTCACCTGAGGTTCTAGTGGGAAGTCGTGACCAGTAGGGTGCAGCAAGTTGAAGGTGAGGCAGTAACTCATCGAAGAAGACACTGCGAAGTGGTCACGCTATGTCATGAATTGGCAGAAGTTAGAGTTCATGGGCTGGCCATTGGATCGGGTCCTAATGGCTTAATGGTCTACGAGCTCGCTTAGCTTTTAACCAGTAGGTCCTGGGTTCGGACCGTTGTGGTGGGTGCGTACTGCTGAAGAGTCTCAAACTAGGCTGACAAAACAGCTGTCCAGTACTCTTTGATGCGTTTCCCAATGGTTCTGTAACTGATGTCAGCTCATGATGAAATCCTTCAACCAATCAAACGAAATTCTCTACAAAACTGATTCTTGAAATATATGTATATATGCATGGCATTTGGTAAGCTATGCCACGTAGACAGTGAATATCCACACTTCACACTGACCTATCACCTCTCTGACCTTTCTTTTGAAATACTACTTAACATCCTGTTTGTTGAAATTTGGAAATTTGACGTTTACAAATGACATCCACAATGACAATCAATATAAAACCTAATAACAATAAGCAATTACTACTAATTGTTATACAGATAAAACTGATGATACTAAGTCACAAGTATATTTGACAAAACAGTCATAAAAAGAAGCTTAACATTTGGTATTGAAAACAGTTTAATATTAGAATTTATGGTATACAGAGAACCGGTAACACTGCATTATTTATCCGGTCCTCATTGATTTGGACAACTTTAGGTGCTAACTATCTGTCGATGCACTTATTCTACTATTTGTTCCATTTCCGTTATCGCTTCTGGCCCCTCAGCAGATGATGAGACCACTCCAGTCGAAGTAATTGACTCCTCATTTGTTTCCACATTTGACGGGGTTGGGTTCGAAACCCCACTAGTCAAATTTTCCTGCTGCTCAACCGTTTCATCAGGAAGTTGCTCAGTGGATGTCGTCACTGGGCTCGTCACCTCTGTCTCCAACGTTGTTGATGGAGATGATAACTGCAATGACGACACTTCTGCGCTACCTTCTTGATCGCCTACAGATTCACCAAGTGTCTCGGAAGAGGGCGTTGTCGTTGTTTCTACCGATTCTTCTGCAGGTTTCTCATTTGTTTCAGTATTGGGTTGCTCTGTGGATGTTGTCACTGGGCTTGTCACTACTGTTGGCGACGTTGTTGATGGAGGTGGTGTTTGTGATGATTGCACTTCTTCGTTACTTCCTTGCTCACCTACAGATCTACGAGTTCGGGCGGAAGCGTTTGGTGTTGTTGAATTTGTCACTTCTGTCGATTCGGCTGTAGAGCTTTCACTCGTCTCAGCTGTGGGTTGCTCTGTTGGTGTTGTACCTGGGCTCGTCACCTCTGTCTCCAACGTTGTTGATGGAGATGATAACTGCAATGACGACACTTCTGCGCTACCTTCTTGATCGCCTACAGATTCACCAAGTGTCTCGGAAGAGGGCGTTGTCGTCGATTCTACCGATTCTTCTGCAGGTTTCTCATTTGTTTCAGTATTGGGTTGCTCTGTGGATGTTGTCACTGGGCTTGTCACTACTGTTGGCGACGTTGTTGATGGAGGTGGTGTTTGTGATGATTGCACTTCTTCGTTACTTCCTTGCTCACCTACAGATCTACGAGTTCGGCCGGAAGCGTTTGGTGTTGTTGAATTTGTCACTTCTGTCGATTCGGCTGTAGAGTTTTCACTCGTCTCAGCTGTGGGTTGCTCTGTTGATGTTGTAACTGGGCTCGTCACTTCTGTCTCCAACGTTGTTGATGGAGATGATAACTGCAATGACGACACTTCTTCGCCACCTTCGTGATCGCCTACAGATTCACCAGGTTTCTCGGAAGGGGGCGTTGTCGTCGATTCTACCGATTCTTCTGCAGGTTTCTCATTTGTTTCAGTATTGGGTTGCTCTGTGGATGTTGTCACTGGGCTCGTCACCTCTGTCTCCAACGTTGTTGATGGAGATGATAACTGCAATGACGACACTTCTGCGCTACCTTCTTGATCGCCTACAGATTCACCAAGTGTCTCGGAAGAGGGCGTTGTCGTCGATTCTACCGATTCTTCTGCAGGTTTCTCATTTGTTTCAGTATTGGGTTGCTCTGTGGATGTTGTCACTGGGCTTGTCACTACTGTTGGCGACGTTGTTGATGGAGGTGGTGTTTGTGATGATTGCACTTCTTCGTTACTTCCTTGCTCACCTACAGATCTACGAGTTCGGCCGGAAGCGTTTGGTGTTGTTGAATTTGTCACTTCTGTCGATTCGGCTGTAGAGTTTTCACTCGTCTCAGCTGTGGGTTGCTCTGTGGATGTTGTAACTGGGCTCGTCACTTCTGTCTCCAACGTTGTTGATGGAGATGATAACTGCAATGACGACACTTCTTCGCTACCTTCTTGATCGCCTACAGATTCACCAAGTGTCTCGGAAGGGGGCGTTGTCGTTGATTCTACCGATTCTTCTGCAGGTTTCTCATTTGTTTCAGTATTGGGTTGCTCTGTGGATGTTGTCACTGGGCTCGTCACTTCTGTCTCCAACGTTGTTGATGGAGATGATAACTGCAATGACGACACTTCTGCGCTACCTTCTTGATCGCCTACAGATTCACCAAGTGTCTCGGAAGAGGGCGTTGTCGTTGTTTCTACCGATTCTTCTGCAGGTTTCTCATTTGTTTCAGTATTGGGTTGCTCTGTGGATGTTGTCACTGGGCTTGTCACTACTGTTGGCGACGTTGTTGATGGAGGTGGTGTTTGTGATGATTGCACTTCTTCGTTACTTCCTTGCTCATCTACAGATCTACGACTTCGGCCGGAAGCGTTTGGTGTTGTTGAATTTGTCACTTCTGTCGATTCGGCTGTAGAGTTTTCACTCGTCTCAGCTGTGGGTTGCTCTGTTGATGTTGTAACTGGGCTCGTCACTTCTGTCTCCAACGTTGTTGATGGAGATGATAACTGCAATGACGACACTTCTTCGCTACCTTCTTGATCGCCTACAGATTCACCAAGTGTCTCGGAAGGGGGCGTTGTCGTTGATTCTACCGATTCTTCTGCAGGTTTCTCATTTGTTTCAGTATTGGGTTGCTCTGTGGATGTTGTCACTGGGCTTGTCACTACTGTTGGCGACGTTGTTGATGGAGGTGGTGTTTGTGATGATTGCACTTCTTCGTTACTTCCTTGCTCATCTACAGATCTACGAGTTCGGCCGGAAGTGTCTGATGTTGCTGAATCTGTTCTTTCTGTTGCAAGCTTTCCACTTGTTTCACCATTGCGTTTTCCTGTAGTTCTCGTTCTCTGATCCGTCACTTCTGTTGTTGAAGATGAGACTTCTTTTTGTTCTTCGCGTGAAGATCTTCTAGATCCCCTAGAATTCTGATTTCTTTTATTATCCGGTGAACCAGTAGTAGTGGCAGGAGGACTAGGCCGATGAATATTGGGCATTCCCATTCCGGGTGTACCAAGCTTATTTAATTCCTCTTCAAGATCTTTCATACTGAGACCATCTAAGTCGTCATAACTGTGGTAATATCTGTCACCCTCATCGTCCTCATAGTCATTGTGGCGATCGGAATCACCATAGTAATAATAGTTATATCTTGCTGCTACTGGAAGCTCAGACATAGGAATTGTATTTCCAGTCTGATTCTTTTTTAGGATGGATTCTGTATTACTTTTTCGGTCTTTCTCTGAAGAACTCTCTTCATTTCTGGCACTGTTTTTATCTGCATCATTCTCAGATGACGTGTGAGTCAAATTCTGCACAGTACTCTCATTTCTTGAAGATTTGTCATGTTCTTTAGACTGAATATCAACGTTTGTAGCATTACCTTCAGTTTGTGTTCTGTCAGTAGGAATTACTATCATTGGTGTCGGTAATGTTGATAATGTAGGCATAGTATTGTTATTTTGAATAGTCTGTCTCTCAGAATTGTTAGTAACAGCAGTTATAAGGGAAGCTGTTGAGGTAGACTGGGTCGACTCAGTTGTAGTCATTGGCAAACTTTGAAAAGAGGAATCATTTTCAACAACTTTGGCATTATCAGTCACAGGTGAATGTTCAGCTTCCATTTTCCGATCAGATGTGTTGATAGTATGATTATGAACTGAAGGTTTTTGCTGGGAATTCACCTCTGTTAAATTTTTTAATACTAATGAAGCATTTTCAGGCATTTCTTTAGCAGTAACAGTTCTTGCAGTGATTAAACATGCATAAGGCAAACGATGTTCACAGTCACGAGCTTGCCATGTAAGTCGTGCCAAATCCAATGACAAACAATAAACCACTCCTTCTTCAAGACTGCTTTCATCTCCATCACTCATACCCAGTATACTTGCAGGACTTGTTCGACCATCTGACCAAGTTAAAATAACTTTCAAGCTGGTATTATTTTCCGTATCTATTAATTCTTGTTTAGTTCTCATGAGTCTACCTCCAGTCCAAAACGACACCGCCGGTATCTTACCCATAAGACTGATTAAGTGTACAACCTGAAAAAGATCAAAAAGTTGTAATATCAGAAGCAGTCTTCAAAAATATAATCAAATCTTCGGAATATAATAAAATGAAGCTAATTAATACGGGAGAAAATGTTTTCATGGAGTCCATAAAACTGTGCGTGTCAGTGTGTCAATGGTGGAATGCTCGTGGACTTCATGTCGCGTGAACCGGGTTCGATTCCCGATGGACTCACTGCTAAACTGTGGAAAATACCCATCAGGACATTAGGGAGAAAAAAACAAGAATTTCGTCAAGGGAATCTTTTCGGCAATTTCATTCTTAAAAGCTGTACAATCGCTGTAGATACCCTTAAGAGGAGGATCCCCAGTTCCCTGAAGAAAATCTTTCTTCCGGCAGCATTAAGAGTGATATTCGCTAACCAACCACTGCCTCAAAGCAATCTGCAAGACAAACTCCAGCATATAATCAAAATAATATCAGTTCACCTGCTCGTGGGGAGCTAGGTACATAGGTTGTTCAATGCTCATCCTTTTAAAATGAGTTAGAGAGCATTACCCGGCATGGCTGCAAAGAAGAGGCACTGGTTCTATTCATAAGCGCCATAACGGAACACTTGGTCAACACCCGTCACAGCATCTCAACTAACTCATCATTCAGAGTCTCTTAAAAAGTGAACAAAAATCTACCGAAGACAATGTGTCACCAACTCCTTCGTACTGCAGGAGCCTTTAGCAGATGCACAGAAAAGTCGAAGCTAGGTGTTCAAACGAAACTAGTTCAACCCCTACATTTACCATGGATCAAGATCAGTTAAACTCTTTAGTTTTCTCTTGTTCGTTTCTCATTCCCTTCATTATTTTCAATTTCAGTTATAAAAACTATCATTTCAATTTGTAACCATCCTCATTCCGTTCGTACATGTATTTCTTAAAACCTATTTCACACATAACGCAACTACTTTTAATCATGTGTAATTTTGTTTCCAAACCTCTTGTAATCTATATTCACACCCCTGAACTTTCATATTATGGTGAAAATTACTATCTCCTTTAGCCTCCTCCGCTATTATGTTGAATTAAATAATAAAGGTATCTATGTAAACTTATGTATATGAATTCTGTTGTAAGGCTTTTGAGAATAAAATCACCGAAAAGATCTCTTCGCCGAACCTCTTGTTCTTTTCTCACACACACAAACCTCACTTAGTCAGTATTAAGTCAGGTAACTAGGGAAGACTAAATGTGTGATGTTGGCAACCCTGCCCCATAAAAAAACACCACCCCTACTAGAACTTCAGAGTTCAAGCTTGAATCCCTATATTCCACTCAGAATGCAAAATCAATACACGAAAGAATATGAAGATATAAAATTGTGATAGAATCCATTAGAATGCACATCAAGGAGAGTCGTCTTTGTATTTCAGACTACTTTTACTATTTTAATAAAGTCATTCCACTGGAGTTTTAAATTGTGTTCTTATAAAGTCACAAAGTTTACGCTTAAAATATTTACTTTTAAAGCTAGTTAATAGATAAAAGTGATCTTGGTAGGTACTTTGTCGGTGATGAAACAAATATAACTTTGAATAGAGCAAGAACAGCAGTTTGTGTACAACAAGATTGTACCATCATTCACTTCATCGACTTCACATCATCTACTGACAACCTGAAGATATCATTCATTTTATGTACAAAAACAATTTTAAAATACCCACACAGAGAGTTCAAGTTTAAACAAAAAATCAATGCATGCATACAGTGGTAATATTAATGATCACTTTATTCCACACAATATTTCAATCATACAGAATGGAATTCTCAGAGTTATGTAATCATATAATAGAAAGAATGGCGACATCAAGTAACTAGGGCAGGGAAAGACTGATAACCTCTTCCTTCTCAAAACATTAATTGGGTTCGAAGCATTCGATGGCGATGGTTGTGACAAACTTTGGGAGAAGTGAGCTACTTGTCTACTGGTAGTTTTCAAGCATTTTATGGTGTCCACCTCATGACACTCATTGATGTGATGTCTGGTGATGGCACTACTGTAATTGTCTGTTTCCTTGATATATAGGCCTTTTGATACATCTTCAGAAAATCGGAGGTGTGCCATTCTTTCCTTCCCTTGAATGTCAGGTAAATTCCAGTGGAAAGATAGTCTACCTTCATTCAACTCGATTTTAAACGTAATAATATTGCAGGAATTATCAGAAGATTGAAAACATTAGTAGCCAGAATCCATCCTATAGCCAATTTGGTTCCCATTTTTCAGATAACACGCTCTTCCGTGCAATCAAAAGTCCACAAATATCCTTCTGGTGTTAACTTTGACTATGTATGCGGACTGACATGTTTCTGAGGAAGCATTTACATTCAGAGTACAGAAAGAAATGCATACTTGGGATTTTCTGAACATGTTCCAAGACGCCTACATCTCAATGGAACAAACAATCAAAATAGTGCCATCACCAGACATCGCGTCAATACGTGTCATGAGGTGGACACCATAAAATGCTTGAAAATTATCAGTAGACAAATAGCTCACTTCTCCTGAAGTTTGCCACAACCATCGCCATCAAATGCCTCGAACCCAATTTATGTTTTGAGAAGGAAGCGGTTACCAGTCTTTCTTTGCCCTGGTAACTTGATGTCGCCATTTTTTCTATTATATGATTACATAACGCTGAGAATTCCATTCTGTATGATTGAAATATTGTGTGGAATAAAGTGATCATTGTGTGAATACATTGATTTTTTTTTGTTTGAACTTGAGCTCTCTGTGTGGGTATTTTAAAATTGTTTATGTACATAAACTGAATGATATCTTCAGGTTGTAAGTAGATGATGTGAAGTCGATGAAGTGAATGATGTTACCATCTTGTTCTACACAAACTCTTCTTTTTGCTTTGTTCAAATATTTCAGTGGGATAAATGCATGAAACTACTACCAATAGTAGTAGTAGTAGTAGTAGTGGTAGTGGGAGTAGTAGTAGTAGTAGTAGTAGTATGAGGGACGAGTGTATCGTGTGATACTGACAAGATTTATAAGTAGTATATAGATGCAGATATAAACACGTATAGGATCGCCAATAATATTGAATAGCAGAGAGATGGATGTAGTGGTGAAGAGAAGAAATCAAACATGCTATTGAAACCACATTGGAAAGCATGAACGGAAGACAAAGTAGCACAATACCAGAGATAAGTGCTAATTGTGATTCTGGCATACGGTATACATATTTTGCCTACATCTGTACACCAAATTGCCAATAAATAATTCCGTTGCCATATCCTTTTATGTTTTTGCGTTAGAACAACACTGCTTAAGAATGACTGATGCGCATGGATTGTTATCCATATATTTGTCATAGTTCAGTGGTAAAACACGGGAGACTTGTTAACGGAATGTTTATTTAGAACTTGGTATCGCTATTTACACCCTATATGAAAATCACCATTTGCACAGATCTTCCGTGGTGTTCTACTTCTTTCCCTAATATTGTGTTTCCTTGTGTTCTTTTCACGTCTACCATTATTCTCTGAAGCTCTAAATCTGACGTCAAACCTGTCTCCCTGCTATTTGATATTTTTATACGTGTGAACGTCTTTTTATATACTACTGATAAATCTTATCAGTAGCACAGACCACAGTGGTAGTGGTAGTAGTGGATTATCCGCTCATTCAGCCGTAAGTTAGTCAGCGGGTTCAGTTTTAACCTGAAGATTACTCTTATCTTAGTCATTTCGTTTACAGAATGTTTCATCCTGAAGATAATATCATGTAGATTAATGTAAGAAAGAGAGTAATTTATAGGGAATGTAAAATGGTGTAATTTTAGATATGATAACTTGGCTTTCAGCAAACTTTCATTCGCCAGGTGTTTATGAATCAGAATCGTAATAGCTCACAGCTCTATCACAACCGTAAGGGAGATGAATCAGAACAAAAATCAATAAATCATGGATAACACTGATTTAGTAACCACTTCTCAGTTAATCTGAAGTGGCAGCTTACATCTTTCAACGTCTTACATATTTACTATCTATTTGCAAATACATTAATTATTGTGAGTGGTAAATATAACTTCAGTGCATATTTTGTTATGAGTCGATAACAGTTGGAGAATCGTCAAAAACCAGGGAGTGATAGACATCTCGCCTGCCTCAGAGATCAAGCTTAGGTCCTTCAGTTTACGAGTCGATTCCGTTGACCAATCAGCCGCTAGATCAGAATTTAAGGACCCGTGAATTCTAACTTCTGTCAATTTGTGATAGAGCATTAGCGCCAACCGGTGTCATCGATGAGTATCTGCTAGACATCTGGTGTGACTGACAGTCCAAAACTATAAGGAAACAATTGTCCACTGCTCCACTGTTTTCAGTAATCCAAAAATGTGAATGACAAATATTGGTTGTTCGATATAAATTATCCCACACAATTATTTTCCTTAGAATAAATTCAACGGGATAATTTATGTTCAATGCCATACAGACTCGAAGACCCAGATGTGAAAACCAACAAGCTGGAAGGAAAAACAGCTAGTGAAGACAGGACTCCAACTATGCATAAACAAGATGGAGGTGATGAAGATCCGCACTAGCCGACAACAGCAAACACTAATCACTATCAATGAAACAAATTTGAAAGAGGCTACTTCTTTCACTTATCCAGCAGGCGTCGCCTCAACAGAACGGATGAGGATGTCAAAATCACAGTCGGAAAGGTAAGGTATGCCTTCGCCACTCTGAAATCACTGTGGAAGTCTTCTGCACTCAGCATAAAGACCAAGATTCCGATTTTCAACACCGATGTTAAGTCAAATGGATCACGAACATGGCCAAACAGTAACTAGAAGCATTTTCAATATGCTAGTGCAGACGTTTATCAACATCTGCCACCTTCGCTAGCTCCACACTGAAGATCAAATGGCTGGTCAGAAGGAATAAGCAGCATGAAACTCTAGTAAAGAACTAACCAAGAACTTATTAGTTAAGATTACTCGAGTGGAACGCGAATGGGGAAAGAC